CAGCAGGGCCCTCCACTCTTACATATTCAGCTGAAGCCCTAAGTGCTCCCAGGCTGGTGGTTTAGACCCTGGGCACTGTGGTTGGTTGGTATTGTTGCTCTCCTGACATTTTGTAAGGTTTGTTTAAAGCTTACCATATCAGGATTTTTAATGTACATATATGCTGTTGTATTTTCCCTTTACAGTTTCAGTCTCCTTATACATAATATCTAACATTTAAAACATAGCACAAGATTTAGAAATGTTTTATCATACTTTATAAAATTTCTTCATGGAGGAAACCTTGCTATTATCGTAACTTAATGCTAATCTTGACACACAAGATGTTATTGTGACTCCTTTCTGGTAATTTAAACTTGCCTTTTACTAGTCTATCAGATCTCTGGAAAAAGTAATTACCACTGTTCCCCCGTCTTCCATCTGCAATCACATAGAGGTTGTAAAAACCTCACCTGTTCATGGAACCTGAACACTTACATTTGTTTCTACTACTACACAAAGCAAAGGAAAATTGAAATTTTATTTCAGTCAATTTTCCCTGATGTTTCACTATGACAAATTCAGTTGTTAAGCACATTTAGTAAACCTAAATAGTAAAACAAAACAACAAATCCAAAACAAAGCTGTGAGGTTCTATCGTATTTACTGAGAGGTAGGTTATCTTTCCAGTCCTTTGAGAGAAAGAATATGTATTACATTTGTAAGAATATGGAAAAGATAACTGTGGAAACACACAAATATCAATCAACATTTCACTTAAGTCTTTCCATAGGAGATCAATGATTAATTTTGTTTTGTGTTGTAAGTAGTGTTTATATCTTCTTATAGTCCTTTATAGAAGTAAAGAGCATTGCAAAAATATTTATTGAAATTTATAAAACATATCTATGTACACTGAGTGTATCCGATCACTAAGACTAACTAAGATTGTTTGCAACCTGTTACAGCAAAAGGAAGCTGTGTGCCCCTATGTTATTTCCTAGACCTCTCATTTTAACCAATACACACTCGTTGGTTTAAAGAAAAACGCTAGAATTTTTGAAGCTTAAACTTCAATTTGATTCTTGAGAGGAACCATACAAAATATTTCTAAAAGTCTATGTACTACTGTAATGGTTTTACACCTGGACCTGAATCATATTCTTTTTTTCTTTCTCAGGCTTTCTGTATAACTTATTTCTCAGATTTATGCCAAGTGCCTTAGCTCATGATAGTACTGACCAGGTTCCCAGTACCATTTATCATTACTTTTTAGGTACTTCAGTTTAAAGTAATTATGAATAAGTTAGTGCAAGGTTACATTCCTTTCCATAACAACAATTTTATTGATCTTTAGTACTTTCAAACATGTATACTAGGTACTTTTCTGTGCCCTAACCACCCCGCAAACCTAGCAAATTCATTAATCTCTTTCCCAAGTTTGGTTCCTCTTCTATCTATCTATCTATCTATCTATCTATCTATCTATCTATCTATCCGTCTATCTATAAGTTATTTATTTAAACACTTATTGCTTTTTTCCCTTTATAGCTCAATCTCCTTATATATAATATTTAACATTTACAAGATAGTATGAATTTTAGAAGTGTTCTATTATACTTTACAATATTTCTTCATGGAAGAAATTACACTATTATTGTAACAATACTAATATTGTTAGTTAGTTGGTTAGCTATTGTTTAATCTATTGGCTCAAATTAGTGCTGCCCATGTGTATTAGGATATGTGAGACATCCACTGGAGAATTTAGCAGTACCCACATGACCAGTAAAACTACTACAGCATCAACATCTTCATAGAATACGAAGGACCATTAACAGAAACGACTGATTCTGATATCCCAGCTTTCCCCCATACATGCTGTATCACCAAACAGTTACCTGGATAATATCGGGCCAGACCAGTGGCACTGCCAAACACTTGCCACAGCAATGTAGGGTCTTCATCTCGATTTTTTTTGAAAACTTCATCTAAGGCACTTGTCCAGTTGAGTTCGTTTAACACTATGGTTGCTAACAAAAGCAAGAAAAATAAAAAAAATTATTCAAAGTTATAATATTTTTATCTAAATTTGTTATATGCAATTATTGTCTGTAATAAAATACTATAAGTTCCTGGAAATTAAAGAGTTTTAAGCATAGAACTTGGTTTTCAATTTTGTTTGATGGCAGTCTGATTGACATTTTAGAATGAGTAACTGATTTCTAGTGTATTGCAGAGTGTTCCACAGTATCTCACACCTGTGCTAACTACTAGGTATGGGTGTAATGCTGTGACATGAAAAAGTGACTTCAGACTTTCTTAAACAATTATTTGCCATAAAATTACTCCCAGATACAAAATACCAAGAGCTCCTTAGACACACAAAGAGAAGAAAGTTGGTTTATAGCTCTTGGTGTTCTCAGAGGGAATCTACAGTAGAGCAACCCTCAAATACTACTGATTCTTTATGATATATATATATATTATGTATAATATATATTATATGTATATACATATATATTATACATAATATATATATGTATATGTGTATATATATACATATATATACACACATATACAAAAATCTATCCTGGTACAAGAGTTTAAAGATTTAAACAAAACAAAAATCATTATCATGTGTGCTTACATAGTATCAACACATACATATAATTTGGTAGACATCATTGGGAAATGTGGTAATATCAGTGTTAGAAACTGGGAACTAGTCATTCAGTGCTTTATCAATACCTTTCAAAGCAATAATTTCTATTTTTCCTCTTCATTCTGGTAATAACTAGAGCATTGTGGTGATATGTCCCATGTTACTAACTTTGAAATCAAATTATAACTAGTTATGGATCTACAGAGGTATTCCAAAGACATGCCATTCACTAGTTTGGAAGAGTATCCAGAAAGAGAATTCCAGATAGAACAGGATTCAAACTAGTATTTAAACAATGTGCTTCCATGATCATTACAGCCCAGTTTCACTGGGAGTCTGGGGATGTGCCAGCCTTAAATGTCTGGCACATTTAAGGGCCTTGTCTTGATTCTCAACACTGTAGAATCTATGTTTGTTAGTGCATACATATAGTCCCAGAGTTTGGGAGGTGGATGTGAGAAGATCAGGAGTTTAAAATATTCTGAGAGTCTTATATAATCGCTTATTAAGAAAAAAAAAATCAGAAAGGTCAAAGGAATATCATTTTCCCCTGCATCAAGTGGTGGAGAGAATTCTGTGTTTCCTGTCTCTATATTAAAACCATGTTTCAGCAGATGAGCAGAATGAGGCTGGGGTCAATACATATATGAGAACCACTACATAAGCCTAACCTGGGAGACACATCTTCAATTACAGGTGTTCTCAAGATTAAAGCGGTTTGAATTGCTGCAGGCCCTTAACTCATGTGAGCATGCACATTTATAGCAATGAAGCCTCCTCTAATCCCCGAGCTAGCCGTGCTCCAACGGCTTTCATATTCCATGCCATCAATTCATTCACCAAAGTATTTTCTAATTTCTGTAAATCGTTATTCCTGTCCTTTTCTATAACCACAGGATACAACAAATGCAAGCACGATTAAACAAGGTACAGGTTTTACGAAGCTAAGATGAAAAAGAGCATTTGTCTTTCCTTGGGCTCTTTTCTTCTGCGTGTTTGTTTTGTTCTATTCTGACTTATCAGGTTTTGTTTTATCTTATATTTTATTATTATCTTAGACGGAAGTTACATAGCATGTTTGTTTAGTCTTAAAATTTCCCTTTTGTTTGTTTTCTTTTTTAAAGAACACAATGAGCACAAAGGAATTAGACACTCTGGGACCAGCATCCTGATGCAGCTCTTATTATAATGAGATTTTCATCTTTATGTATGTGATTACATTCAGAAAGATCAGTGTGTGTGTGTGTGTGTGTGTGTGTGTGTGTGTGTGTTTGAATATTCATGAGCTGGGTCAGATCCATAGTGCATCTGTGATGGTGAAGAAATTATATTCAAAACCATGATCGTATAAACACCAATTGGCCAGTTATGTGGAAATTTATATTCACATAGATAACCTAAACTGATACCATTCATGAATATTTAAGATAATATACAAATCTTCACAGAGAGGGACAGCGTGTTTTTCTTTGAACATTCATAACTTTTACAGTAATATTGTACAGAATGAATCCTGATGTTTATTTAGGATCCAGAACCACTTCATTAATATCCAATCTAGTCTATCTTTTCAATTTCCTTGACTCTGTTCCACAACAAGCAGTAGATAACAGATAATTACTTTTAATAAAGTTTCATTTGTTTGCCAGGCTGTTCTTTTTTCTTAATTTTATTAGATGTCTTGACAATAGGGCTGGGCAGACTGTAAAGTTTGCTACCATGCATTGAGCAAAATAGCTAAGCTTTGATATATTGCTGCTCTTATGGCTGTATGTTTTAAAATTCCCAGTTGATACAATTGAAAATTTTTTCTAGATGAGACATTACAGATTCTAAGGGCTTTAATTACTATATCAGTCTGCAAATGAGCCAAGTATACAAAGTACATGCACAAGCAAGGAACTTGATCCTAAACTTTACTCAGTATGAAAGAAATGATAACATTTACCCATAACATTCGCAAGACGGAAGCTAGATATCCTGTATGAATCAGGTGTGAAGACACAGTCAGTGAATATATTTATAAGAACTCCCAAACAGAATCATTATTCTGTTAATGACATTCCAATCTTTACTTGAATGTCTAATGCTAAAAGTCAAAACACAAAGGTCAGCCTTGGAAGTGCAGATCCAATAGTACACCTCTTGGGAGACAATCTGACAATACTGGCACAGTGTACGCATCTGTCAATCCAATCCCAATTCCAGAAACTGAATTAGAGACAGAACTAGCCCATATTATTTTCAGTCCCTAGTGAAACAAAATCCTGAGAAAGTCCAATTAAGTGCAACATTCCAAGTTTTATTTTTCTCAAATTACATTGAAAACACCTCAAATGTAAAAAAGCATACATAAAGCTTCAAAGCAAAGAATAGAGCAAACATGCATGCTACTTTAGAACCTCAGTTACTCAGTTACATTTTCCCTAAAACAGATAATGGAGTATCTTGATTAGTAGATATTATTTAATAACCTGAAATTAACAGATATTCTTTTGCAATCAATTCCAATAGCACATCTAGTTACTCATGTGCATAGTGTTTGTCTGCCTGTATAGTGTGCCCATTCCCAGGGTAGAGGCTGCTGAGCTAAGTAGGGAGTCAGCAGGTAGAATATCAATGAATGAAAGAATGACAGATGTGATGACATATACCTATCACATTAGCTAAAGCACCATGGGAGCCTTAAGAACAGCCCCACTCTCCCCTGCTGTGAGGCCATCCTTTCCGCCTTCATTTCATGTGCACAGTCAACAAATCTTAATCTGCACATCTTTCTGTTTCCCAATGTCTAAAGCTCAGTGAGGAAGATGCTGTTAAAGTAACAATTGTGGCTACAGCTGGGTCAACAGATGAGTGTGTTAGAAAAGTTTTATGTTTCTGTATGGAGATGTTTTTATTTTGAATGTTTTTGGTGGCTATGTCCTTCCTTTACTCTTGGTTTCTATTGCTCATTTCTAGTCTCTTGACACCAGAATAAGTAAAAGATATAAATCATACCTGTTTTATGATACAAAAAAACAAGCAAACCCACTTACTTCAGAAAAGTATTCATCTTCAGGAATTATTTCTCCAGATGGTTAAACATACAATTCATTTAGATAATGACATTATACTGAAAATTATTCATAGAACTCAGAATTGATCATACATGTCACAATCTTTATTTCAGTATTGAGACATCAAAATTAAACGTTCTTTAACTGAAGAGATGTCAATACAATTGCTTAACCAAATACTACCTCATAATCAGTAGGTAAATTATCTTTCCAAAGAAGCTCAAATACGTTAAAAAATTTTTATTTTTTTAAATTATATGTATATACATGCATGTGTGGTGGAGTATGAATGTGAATGGGGTGCTCTAGGAGCCGGAAGACGGCAGATTCCCTTGAACAGAAGTTCCAGGCAGTTGTTAACTGTGAGATGTGGGTGCTGTGGATTGAATCCATTTCTTCCTCAGGAGCTGCGTTGCCCTTTCTCCAGCTAGCTCAAAAAGTACAAATCTTTTATTACTACCAACATGACTTCTATAAATTCTAAAAGTATTGATTATATCTCTAACTGACTTTCTCTGATTTCCTGAGCATTATTTTTAATTATGCTGTATTTTATATTATTAAACACATGTCATTTACTATATTTAGATTGGCCCTACCTTTCCTCTGAATTCTAAAAGTAATACTATTTTACATTTACACAAATATCTGATTCTTTCCCTTTGTGGAGAAAAGAAATATGGTTAGCTCTGAAGTTCGGATAATGTTCACAGATGGGTATGTTTATCTGTGAGAAAGTTATGCTTTGTACAAATTAAGCCCTTTATAGATTTGCAAAGCCCAGCCTTCTCAGAGCACTGAGAATGTGGGAATCAGCCTTGACTTTGGAGTCTTTTCTGTGTGGCATGACAGGATTTCACTGATAATTGATTCACAGTGCCAAGCATCTATCCCCATTCTTCATGCACTTGGTTTTTCAAAAATATGGCCTTGGTCTTCAGTAGTTCTCTTGTTAAGAGTAGTCTATTGTTCAGTGTGGCTTCTCAAGGGAAGAAAGAAAAATCCAATTTGTAATAACACAAAAGCAGCTTCCTGTCAATGCTGTTAATTCTTCCACAAGCATGTGACCCTTCTGAGCTACATCTTGTCATGACACAGAAAGCACGATCATTGATGAGCTCGGAATTTAATTTTCTTTTGAAAACTTTAAGCAGTAAAATGATGAATTATTGTTCCTTCTTAAGTTTAATCATGATTTCATTAAATTTGAATGTGTTCTGTTGTTTTATTCAGAACTCAAGGTCTTACCGTGCATTAAAATCCTTTAAAAATGTGAACATTATAAATATTGTCAACTATAGTTTATTAA